CCATAGTGGCCACCACAATATGCACTTGTTTGGAAAATGAATACGACGACATATCACGTAGGATGACCCATTTATTCTTTCAAACTCCAAATGTTCTTTCAATAATCCCGTATAAGGAAGATTGACGTTTGTTGAACATATTTTTTCTATCACAGGCGGTGCCAGTTGCTCTCTCGAAACAAAGAATATGATATTTGGTGTCTGGATAAGGCTTCAGGTATCTCCTCTGCGTCAGATATCCAACATTAACCAAATAATATATTCTTGTTATGAAAGATACTATTAATGACAAATAAAACATATAACTAATAAGTTTACATAACTAAATTACATGCTGCCAAAGACACTTTGGGCAGTTGATTCACTCCTAATGCACGCGACTTTTTCGTGGCTAAGTAGTTGGGTATCAATGTGCGTACCGTCGATTACCTATAAAACATATAACTAATAAGTTTACATAACTAAATCACATGCTGCCAAGACACTTTGGGCAGTTGATTCACTCCTAATGTACGCGACTTTTTCGTGGCTAATTAGTCAGGTATCAATGTGCGTACCGTCGATTACCCAATGCAGTTCTGCTTAGCATCGTTAGAAACTAATTATATTCTGAAGTGAACGTAACACAATAATAAAACTTATCTTGATATATGACATTAATGGGGATCATTGACAATTTGTTATGGAGTATTAACGAAAGATGGATCCTCTGGCTTAATGATGTGTGACGATAAGCTAACAAGTGCTTGCAGACCTTTGGAGAAGTATCGGTTAATTGTTTTTTTAGAATACTGAAATCGCTCCATAGCTTCTCTAACTGATTTGTTGTGAGATAAAATGTATATTGTTATTGCCAGCACCTCCCTAATTGTCGTTCTAGAAGAACCTTGGAGGTCGTGGTTACGACATAACTCGTGAAGGAGATTCACAAAAATGGGTGCAGTCATGCGAAAGTATTGCTGAACCTTATCAGATGTCCAACAAACATTTCACCCTCCTATTTATCCCCAACAAAGGAGGACTCATGCGTGGTATTCGAGCAGTGGTAGAGAGGTAGTAAACAACAATATGACAATCGCCGCAACCCATGCTATTATTTTACGACGCTCTTGCTGTCAATCCATCCTAAAAAAAATAAGTTAGGATAAAATAAAATGCGGAAAAATAATAACACCAAAATGAAATGATAAAAATATTAAGGACTTCAAAACACACAAATGAATTGCAGATAATTGTTATGGAAAATAAATAAAATCTTTGAAATCCAATACAAATAAAAACTACTGACATCAACATATAAAACATACTCATTCTCCAACTAAAACACGTAAATATTTAACGCACAGTTCGGGCCGCAGCGCTATGAATATTTTCCTCCGGGTCAAGTCCTCAAGTTTTTTAGCACATTTTGCATAAAAACGTATATCATTCACTACTTCTGGAAGAGCATCCAAAGCTACAGTAAAATCCATGATGGTATTATTAGGTGGAGCAGTAGGTGGCGGAGCTGCAAAAGCATCAATCAGTTTGAGCTTTTCACGAAAATGTTCTTATCTTTCCTTCTTTTCCCAAGCCTGAGTCTCTTTGACTGGGAACTGAACTCCTCTATCTTCTTCTGATTACTGCCAAACCCTTCATCGTTAGCCGTAACCTACTCAGGCGACAAGTCATTTGGTATGCTTGCAAACCCCAACTCACTTGAGTTGAATGCATACTTTTCTGTCGCGACAACCCCCTTAAACATTATGTCTAATTTATCTTCCAACTCTGGGTCAATTTCACACTGCTTATATTTTTTGGCTGCTGGTATTGCTTGTAATGTTGTGGGGGAGGGGGGAGTTAGAGGGCGTATTAGTTTAAAAAAAAAGTTGAGAATAAACCAAAGGAGAGTATAATTATTACTCCTAATTGCTTAACCCACCATTTTTTTGGAGCATCAATTGTTCGCTTAATAAGATCCCAACCCAACCCAGTGGATCCCCGTTTCAGCTCCTTCCATATATTCCACTCATTTTTCAATTGCTCCCATTTGTTTTTGAATTTGAGCCTATCATAATCTCCTTTCTTCAATTTTTTGAATCTTTTCGCAATACTTTGCCAATTTTCCTTGTTAAATGTTGTGGGGGAAGGGAGAGTTAGAGGGAGTATTAGTTAAAAAAAAGGTTGAGAATAAACCAAATGAGAGTATAATTATTACCTCTAATTTCTCAACCCACTATTCCTCTGGAGCATCAATTGTTCGCTTAATGAGATTCGAACCCAACTCAGTGGATCCCCGTTTCAACTCCTTCCCTATATTCCACTCATTTTTCAATTGTTCCCATTTATTTTTGAATTTGAGCATATCATAATCCTTTATCTTCAATTCTTTGAACCTCTTCGTAATATTTTGCTAACTTTTCTTATTAAATTATGTGGTTGACCTATTTCTGAGCTCAATTTCTTTAATACAAAGATTGCAAAAAATGTTTTTTATTTTCTTATCCAAGATTGCGGACCCCCTTCAATCATCTTAGTCATATAGGAACTAATTGAAGAGTACGACAGTTAAAATAAAATAACTTAAAGCATGTAACAAACTCAACATTTAAGACCATTATAGAATGAGAACGGAAAAAATCGGGCTACATACCCATAATCAGAAAAGAGAGGATAACGAGGGGCTCCATCAACATATAAAAAAAAAAAAAAAAAAAAAAAAAAAAAACCCGAAATCATTGTAAGAGAGATCTCCTCCATCCATAAAACATCCACTCAAGTCAAAACCTCACAAACATCAAAACTGAGGCATAGGTAACAATTAGAATACAATCAACTCAAGTCAAAAAAAAAAAAAAAACATTCGACACACAAGACAAGCTGATAGATAAGAACATCACAACAGAAGCCCCATATGGTAAGTCCAACAGAGAATAATTAAGAGCCCAAATGAGACCCAATAAAAGATGTAAACAGTAAACCTATAAATTAAAAAAACACCGCCACAATACAATAACCTCCTGCAAACCTTAGCTAGGGGAAACATAGCTACAAAAGGTGCCAAAAATCAGAAAAGGAACAAATATCCCAAACAAAGAACTGAGCAATTGAAAGAAGACCCAAAATATGACAAGTAGTTCCAAAGCTCAGTCCTCCATAAAGGACGGAGAAACACAACATGAGTAAGGAAAGAAGCAATAATGCTAGGTAAGCCCAAACACAACAACGAAGACGAAAACAATATCTTAGTCTTTAATCCACTGAAAGAAATTAAGCATTCATATAAGAAAGAAAACATCGACATAATCTAATTATGCTTGCATTCTTTATGTTGCCTTCATGTTGGTAGTCACCAATTCATTGCTCCCTTTTTTTAGAGCCAACAATCTTTCTTGATGGGGAAAAACTTGCTCCATATCTCTCTTTCTTATAAACAATCCCTAGCTCTATTTTTTCCAAATCAACACTCTCCAAATCAACGCGCTCCAACACATAAATCACATGCTTTGACAAAAGACTCCATATCTCTTATGCTGATGATATAACTTCTAGGTAGAATGATATCAAGGACAAGCTTAAATAGCGTAATAAAACAATTTATTGACTATGTTTCTTAATAAATGTGTGTGTACTTTGAGGCAATTAATTTGGATGGTAGGTATTTGAAAATGTAGAAGTGTCAGAGCAAAATTTGCTAGCAAATGAGTTTAAAACAAGCAAATGAACTTTTATATATATATATATATATATATATGTAGGTGGCACTTGTGAAAGGATCATTCACATTGCAACTCTAGCATTGACATCCATCCTCCCAAAAACCTCCTTAAAATTCCAGTTTCAATTCAAATCATACGTCACTTAATAATAAAACATTGTCATTATCAGTTCATAAAACACATGTTAAAACAAGCTCAGATGCTCAAGCTAGAACCTACTAGCATTAATTTTCCACAATCATGACTATTTGATGGTTTTTATTAACCCTTGCTATCCATCACTCAACAATTCATCATAGCATTATCATTGATACCATATGCACGTTAAAAAGAGCCATTTTGGTCACATACTGATAGCCATTTCCCTAAAAGAATGCAAAAAAAGAACCACAATTCATGCAAGGAAAAGGCCTCAACTTCCCCTTCAGTTCGTTTACAGGATCAAACAAAAACCTGTTGTTTCATAGTTTTCCTTCTAATTCTTCTCAATTTTAATCCTGTAGAAGAACTAAGTGGTCTGATTCCTAGAAGAACTGAGGGGTAGCTGCTTGATGATCACCAAACCCTATACATCCAACACAGGCATCACCAAACCCAGTTGATCCAACACATAATGATAATGGATTGACATAAGAATAACATATCAATCCACAACAAGGCATCACCAAAGCCGATAGATCCAACACAGGGGCGAAAAAAATCGAACACAGTGGCGAATGAAATCACACCTCACATGAATGAATCCATCAAAGATCGCTACAATACATAGATCCAATACAAGCATCAACAAAACGTATTAAGTTATAGAGAGAGCCGGAGCACCACGCGAGGTGCGAGGAGGGAGAACGAGGGAGAACTTACAGGGAGAACGAGAGAGAATAACCAGAGCACAGACGAGATCAGGAGAGGAGAAGGGCAGACGAGATCGGGGACGGGACCGAGGGGCTTAAGTTAATTAAGCTCGAACAGAACGCGGACCGTGGGTTCTATCCCGCGGCTGCGATTAGTAAATGATACTCATTGCGCGATTCAAGACCACCCAGCCAACGCGCGAAACAAACGGACACAAATAAGCTGCCCCAAACGGGCTCTTAGTCTAAAGAAAAGCTATGCCAGATCTATCTGTTGTGAAGCATGTTGAGCAAAAAATGTTTTTTTAACTTTATTTTCTTTTGAGAACATGCATTCTAACCCTATACTTCAACTCAGATCGGTTAGGAAATGATCTTTTGCTCATCATGTTTAGTATCTTTTGTTTGCTTTTGGAAGATTGGCTCATCTATTTATAATTTTCCTTAACAGGTAAGAGCAAAACATAAGGAAGTTTGTCTTCATAAGGACAGTCCATTAGGAGAGACGATACTTGAGTGCTATAATTGTGGCTGTCGCAATGTTTTCCTACTTGGATTTATTTCTGCAAAAACAGAGAGTGTTGTTGTTCTGCTGTGTAGAGAACCTTGTCTCAGCGTGAATGCACTGAAAGACATGAATTGGGATCTCAGTCAATGGTGTCCTCTGATTGATGATAGGTGTTTTCTTCCATGGTTGGTTAAGGTTGGTATTTTGATACCTATTTCTGTTCATTTCAAAGGGTGCTTGTCACATCTAAATTAACTGTTTCCTCCTTTAGGTTCCTTCTGAGCAGGAGCAGCTCAGGGCACGACAGGTTACGGCTCAGCAAATTAACAAGGTGGAGGAGCTTTGGAAGACAAACCCTGATGCTTCCTTAGAAGATCTTGAGAAACCTGGAGTAGATGATGAGCCTCAGCCCGTAGCTTTGAAGTATGAAGATGCATACCAGGTTCTAATATTTCACTGTATCATTTTAACAAAGGATATCTTTCGTTCAAATTTATTTCTGCTATTTTTTTTTTTAAATTGTGGAAATTGACGTTGTTTATTCTTTGGACAGTACCAAAATGTATTCGCTCCGCTAATTAAGTTGGAAGCTGATTATGATAAGGTAATAAGCAGATAACGGGCTACTGCTATGGCTTTATATTGTTTCCATTTTGTTTTGCTCAGCATTCATCATCATTTTCTAAGTTTTAAGATTTACTTTTGACTTACACATGGCTGACCTCACTGCTTGGTTCGTGCTGTAGATGATGAAGGAGTCTCAGAGTAAAGATAATGCAACAATCAGATGGGATGTTGGCCTTAATAAGAAGCGAATAGCTTATTTTGTCTTTCCCAAGGTGTTTTCTTGATTTACAGAATTAGTGGACATCATGTGACTTTTCCTAGTATTACTTTGTTTTAACATGTCCCTTTCATATTTGCAATAAATTAATTTTGGATAATTATGCAGGAAGACAATGAACTAAGACTTGTTCCTGGGGATGAGTTAAGATTGCGGTATTCTGGCGATGCAGCTCATCCTGCATGGCAATCCGTTGGACATGTTGTAAGTAAACTATCAGTCATTCACACGGTGATACTATGATTATTTGAGATTTATCGGGATGTTAGCACATGTTTAATCAATATAGGTTTAACAAGCTTAATGAAAGTTCCTTGCTTGCTTTAATTTTTGTTTTTTCAAATAGATCAAGCTTACTGCTCAGGAGGAGGTTGCGCTTGAACTGCGCGCTAGTCAGGTAGTAATATTGGATTGGGAACTTTGGCATCGTAGTGTAATTTTAACTAGTAAATGCTCACCGATTCTTTTACTTGATAGGGAGTTCCAATTGATTTGAATCATGGATTTAGTGTTGATTTTGTCTGGAAGAGTACAAGCTTTGATAGAATGCAAGGGGCTATGAAAACCTTTGCTGTTGATGAAACGAGTGTTAGTGGGTAAGCAAGCGGATTATTGGTTCTTTATTTTATGCAAATTTCATGACTGAAAGTATTTGTAAGGGATTAACGTTCCCTTGTGATGCAAATTAAATATGGAAACAACGTATTTGTTAGTTTCATATTTAGTAATTTGTTTTTTATCCAGTCGATTTTCTATGTCAATTGCTAGGATTAAGTGGGACATAACAGCTTTTGTATGACTTAGTTGATGCATGTGGATTGATGAGTAATATGCAGTGATTGGATATTGATCACTTTTACTGTATTCCTTGATGCAGATATATATATCATCACCTTCTTGGGCATGAAGTTGAACTTCAAGTAGTCCGTAATACTCTACCTCGCCGTTTTGGTGCTCCAGGCCTCCCAGAGTTGAACGCCTCTCAGGTATTCTTTTCTTGAAACTTGAACTGCCCTTGATGTTAAAAGAGAAGCATTAGATGTTGCAGATCACTGTCTTAAGACGAGGAAGGGCTCTTTTTAATCCAATAGCACTCAAAATGGTTTTTTCATTTTTATGGGAAGTATGGTCAATCAATGATAAAAATCATGAATTTTGGTTCTTAGCATCACCCTTCCCTCTTTTAACATCAATGTCCTTATTTTGCTCCAAGCATCCACTTGTTTTATGGTGATTTTTTCTACAGTAAATTGGGGCTGGGGTTTGTTGTATGTTGGGCGGAATTGACCAATCCATTTTGGCAAAAATTAGAATAGGAAAACTAAAATAAATATCAAAACTTTGATAGTTGTTGTATTGGAAAGTGAGCTCGAAATAGTGTGTGAGAGGATTCAAACAAACAACTACCATCCCTCAAGGATGTATTTTTCGGAATTGAAACTCATTGTAGTTTCCTTGTTGAATTCCTTGAGTGTACTTCATTGTTTAAATTATAATGCAATGACATGAGACACAAACATGACACAAAGATGGTAATATCAATAAGAATGATTATTTTTATTGCTATTATTATTATTATTATTATTATTTATTATTATTGTCTTTATTATTATTATTATTTTGTTGATTTTTGAAGAAGAAGAAGAACAATGTTCTCCAGCGTTCTTAAATGTTCTTGTAGCTTTAAAGTCATACATTGGTGTTCTTGCTGCTTTTTCCTTTCATCTACACTGCCTTCAATTATTATCCTCTTGAATTGACCATCAGCATCGAGCTTTAGCTTCAGTTGTATTTAGTGCAATTTCTTTCGAATAAATCTTACCTGTTGGAATTGTACTTGAGGCCTGCTATTATTTTGAACCATCCACAGCATCGAGCTTTAGCTTCAGTTGTATTTAGTGCAAAATCTTACCTGTTGGAATTGTACTTGAGACCTGCTATTATTTTGAACCATCCAGCTGATTGTGTTATTTGCCATGCCCATGTTAACAAACTGATAGCTGTTTGTATTGGTTGCAGGTTTTTGCTGTTAAGAGTGTTCTTCAAAAACCAATTAGCTTAATACAAGGTCCGCCTGGAACGGGAAAAACGGTTACATCTGCAGCAATTGTGTACCACATGGCTAAGCAAGGTCAAGGGCAGGTATGGTAGTGTACCCGTTTGACATTGGCAGTTTCATTATTCATTATCATAGCTGTCATCATTTTATTCAGGTCCTTGTCTGTGCTCCAAGTAATGTTGCTGTTGACCAACTAGCCGAGAAGATAAGTTCAACTGGATTAAAGGTGATTTTATTGATGGGAAATTTAAATATGTAGCACACAATTCTTAAGTATTTTCATTTCTCACATCAAACTTTTATATTTACATACATAGCGCTTTGATTCTTTAAACCTGGCATGAAAATGTGTATTTCACTTTTAAAAAGTGGCAATTGTGCTATTTTTTATGCTATATTAAAATTTTGAGTTCTGTGTGTGTAAATATGAAATTTTAGGTGTGAGATATGTAAATACATAAGAATTGTGTGCTTTGTATGGAAAGGTCCCTTTTTTGATTAACTGTTTGCATAATCGTTTTACTTCTTTCGTCATGTTGATTTTTTTTTTAAATAACAAACTTAATATTTAATGTTGGATGAAATATCAGGGAGAGTGGATTATATTTCACTCTTTCTTGTTCATAGCCCTCAAGCAATTTGTTCATATTTACATTATACCTTGATATAAATAGCTTTTGTTCTGTTTTCTCTTTAAAAAAAAAAAATAAAGTGGTTGTGCAAAGGAAGTTTGTTATGTATAATGGATCAAAAATTTAGATATATCTGCTTTTTTAAATAGAACAGCTGCAATAACACTGAATCAAGGTTGACCATAAACTTTCTTGTTGATATTAATAAAATCAAGTGATAGACTAACTGTTGAACTTTTTCATGTTACTTAGGTTGTAAGGCTCTGTGCTAAATCAAGAGAGGCCGTTAGCTCTCCGGTTGAGCATCTAACGCTTCATTATCAGGTATTAGTTTATTCAGTTTCTTCTGGATGTTGACCTTGCAAGTTCTCATTTGCATTGCTGATATTATTATATGAGTACTCATTTCAGGTCCGTCATCTGGATGCATCTGAAAAAAGTGAACTTCAGAAGCTTCAACTATTGAAGGATGAACAAGGTATTCTTTAACATTTATGAGTTTATAAGCTGACTATTGCCTACTTGTTTCTACGAGTTAAATAGTTTATGAGATTAGCCACTGTTTCAGTTTGTCTGGTAAATGCTTACTAGAATTTCATAGCTTGTTCATGCACCTCTTCATAGCTTCATGGCCATGGAAAATGCACTCTTGGAATACTTTATCCATCTCTACCAGATTAAGGAGAAATTCAATTCATGTGACATCACTTCGCCTACTGAAGTAGGTGAAGTTGTACATTACTTATTACTTTTGTATAGATTCAGCCTTTGGCTATTTTGGAATTTATTCTGCTTTTTTTCTTATATCTTTGATGTTTAAGAGAGCATGTTTTATTATTCATGTCTAGGGCCGTCAAAAAAGCTCGTTATTCGCGAACAACTCGTGTTTGGTTCGTCAATGAGTTTGTGCTCGATTCTTTCGATAAGTAAACGAGCGAACGTGAACAAATTTTTTTCGTTCGGTTAATTAAACTAACCAAATAAGAACAATGATCGTTCGTTCATGTTCGAATTGTTCGAAATATAAAATAATTTAAAATAATTATATATAAAAGATTTATGATATTTTAACTATATTAGTAATATACTAATATAAATATTATATATTTATATAATATAAGTTATATAATTAATATAATATATTATTTATATATATTAATTCTAGGGATGTCAACTGGCTCGTCGTTTGCGAACAATTCGTGTTCGGCTCATTCGTTAAGAAACGAATACGAACAGTGACTTCACCAACAATTTCGAACACGAGCTTATTTCAAACAAACTAAATTTCAAACGAACCGAACATGAACACAAGCTCTGTTCGTTCGTGTTCGGTTCGTTTACACCCCTATCTTTGAGTGCAGAACATAAACCTGGTTGAACTCGGTTGTTTTTTTATTTTAAAAAACAAATGACCTTATATTAGGAAATTCAGTAAAATTTTTAAGCGGGCTTTCACTCAGGAACAATGTATGGGGTAAGCATTTTAGTATTTGACTACTTAATGCTCCTAATTTGGTCTTGTAACTCTTGAAAGTAGTTTCAGCTTAGTCCACCTTTAAGACTTTGGTGCAATTGGATGGCATGTCACATGCAGGACATTTTTTGGAGTTTAGAATTCGTGATCCATCTTACGACAAGTTTTTTCAATTAGATAAATTTAACCTCCAAGCAATGTCGTGCATATGAAGTTCCATTCAATTACACAACAATCTGAATGTTTGGACAAAATTGGAATAAATTTATAGGTTTTAAGGGACTAAGTTGTTACTTTAAATAGTTTGGGATAAAAATAGACCCCACACAAATTCCAAGGACCATTGTGGGTGTTTTTTTAATAAAAATGCTCAACACTAATGCTAATTAAGTATTTAGCCATTGTTGCCATGGCCAACATCATGACCTTCTCTTTTTGTATCAAATTCTATTTCAGTTGTCTTCATTATCTTAATCAACAAAAGAATCTTTAGAATCATCTTCCATTTCATTGTTGTTAATTATCTTATGAGAAGATAATTGCACCCGAGTAATTGTTGAACAAATAATTATGGTTCCAAATTCCCCTTTCAATCTATTTATTTGAATAAATCGTTCATTAATTCTCTTTACAAAACTTTTTTTTTCGTTCTTTTTTTTTATAGCATCGACATCTTTGTGGAGAATAATCCATGATAAAGAAGTAGCTTCGAGTTCTGCTTATAAGACCGTTTTGGTTTTTTACAGTTTACTTGAACCTGCCTAACTCAGCAACATTGACAGCGATGTCAGCTTGAAAGAGCTATATCGCCACATATTGGATGGTTCTCTCTAGCATTCTTGTTAAGGCTCTCTTTAATGCCAGCTTATTTTCTCTAATCTAATTTTGGCTTGAAGGAAAGTAGTTATCCAAATCACCTTTTTGGCCACTTGAGATTGTGTTGCATGAGATCGATTGCTACTCTACGTGGTTGTGTGAGCGTGTAGGAGAAATTTTTGAGTCACATGAGAAATGTAATCTTTGAGATTGTGAATTGTGTTTACATAGTTAATAAGTGATGAATGCTACACCTAAACCACTTTATTTGAGTGAAACAATAACATGAAATCAAACCGATGCTGTCAAACATGCTGTATGCAATGAAAGCGCCTGGGGCTTGAAGGTCCATTGATGCACATGCATTGTTGTGCTTCGCAGCAGATTAGAGAAGTTTGATTGCACTTAATTATAAAAGAGTGCTTTTGTTAACACTATTTCAATCTTTTTTCCTGAATGAGTATGGAACTTCTTTCTATATAATTTTTTTGTATTAATTTTAAGTAAAACATGTTTTCTTTGGTCTTCATAACAGAGCTGTAGTTCATATAATGTTAGTTCATCTATTTTTTGGGCATTAATAAATGTTATGGACTTGGTTCAGGTGAATTGTCAAGTAGCGACGAAAAGAAGTTTAAAGCATTGAAGCGTGCCACAGAAAGAGAGATACTTCAGAGTGCTGATGTTATTTGTTGCACTTGTGTTGGTGCCGGTGATCCTCGATTGTCAAACTTCCGTTTCCGGCAGGTATATTAATAAAAAATATTTTTATTTATAAGCAAACATTTATTCTGCTTTATATGTCTCATTTGATGTTTTCAACTGTATTTTTTCTATTACAGGTTCTTATTGATGAATCTACGCAGGCAACCGAACCGGAATGTTTAATACCTTTAGTTCTTGGAGTCAAGCAGGTAACTTAAGGGAGAAATTCCTGTTACTATTTGTATTATAGCTGTGCATTTCTGTGTTTTTGCATGCACTTGTTGGATGTGTTGCTTAATTTTTCTTGATTTAGGTTGTTCTTGTTGGAGACCATTGCCAGCTTGGTCCTGTTATTATGTGTAAGAAAGCAGCTCGTGCTGGGCTAGCACAATCTCTGTTTGAGCGTCTTGTACTTCTTGGACATAAGCCGTTCAGATTGCAGGTAGGGACTATGTTTTTTACTTTCTCATTTGATGATTATTTCACAGCATTTGTTTCCATTATTATTATACCTGTGTGAACTATTTTGGTTCTTGGTGCATTATAATATCTGACCATATTATGCAAGATTTGTGATGCAGAACTACTCATGGTCATGACTTTTTATTGCAATTAATAATGAATGCATATTATGCTTCATACAGTCGAAAATTGAGGATTCTCATATTACAAATGAATATTAAGGATTCCCAGGTTATAAGTTACGAGTTATGAACAAAAAATTTTCCTTGAATTTAAGTAATGATTTATAAATAAATAAAATCACCGGGCAAATAAATTAATTCCTACAAAATCAGATTTTCCATATATATTTTTTTGACCAAAATCAAAGCACTGTACTTATTAATAATAAATTTTGCAGAAAAGGTAAGAGAACTTAGGGCTTCACAAAAATACAAGAAAATGATTTTCCTACCTCCTTAGGGCTTCACAAAAATACAAGAAAATGATTTTCTTTAAAAACATGTCGTACTACCTGTACTGTTTTCTAATCACACTTCACAAATCCAACTTGCGGTCACAAGCTTGATACCAAAATAGAGAAATTTTTTTCAAGCCAATAGTTGTGGACTTATTTGCTTTAGAGTAGTTAGATTCTTCATTAACTAGGTTAGTATATAAATTTGTCACATGATCAATTCCAATTTCAATTTAAGTTAATCCGAATTTTTATTTTAATCTAAAGCAATTGAGCAATTTTAATATTTTTTTAAATGTCCAAGCGATCAAACAACTACTAACCCATGGCATAATTCTGCATGGTAACTAAAGCACAAGAACCACACCCACTTATCTCATTTTCATTCCACGAGGATATGTTCCAAACTTTTAATATATATATATATATATATGGGGCCTAAAAATACCTAAAATGGGAAAATGTGCAATTTTGTCTGGAACCACAAAGCTTCAAGTACTCGATTTAGAAAAATTTGCTCTGCATATTGAACTTTTGATATTTAATCGAACAATAAACTATCTTGATCTCGTCATCCATTTCAGAGAAGTACCCTAAATTAATTGAAGGCTAAAATTTGCCAATCAAATGAACTAAGCTAAAGCTATGCATTACTTTTCTTCACCAATATAATAACTCTTGTTCATCTTCATTCCTATGCCCATCACATAATCACTTGTCATTCGCTGACTTGTTCACTACATAACATTACTTTTGCTTAGTTGGTTCCATTTATTTGTTAACCTGTTTTGACCAATACAATCCTTTTAGCTTGATACAACTATTGATTAAGCGTATTGGCCCGTATCTTGCATTTACATCTTATTTATTATTTCCAAAGGGCATCATATTAAAAAGAACGAGTGAAATTAAAGTTTGCTTTATTTCTTTTGGGGATTGCGACCTTGCAATACCATCCTCACTATCATAGTTGAAGGCTAATTCCACTTCCGTAAAGCGTTGACATTAGCCTTCCTTTGTTCTTCGAGCATTGTTTCCTTGAAAAATCACCTTCATTGTCATCCTCTTCAACAATAACAACAAGACTTTATCCCATTAAGTGGGGTCGACGACATGAATCTTCTTTCTCCATTGTGTCCTATTGAGTTCATATTGCCATATTCTTCAATTTCACCAAAACCGATATCTACTATCTCGTTCTATCTCCTTTCTCACCAATGTGTTCAAAGTAGAATAATGTTGTCAGTATATCCTTGTACCTTGATGAAATGAATTGCTTCCCACAATTAAGTAGTTAACAAAGTTAAGTAGACTTTTGAGTGAATTTACTAAAAAAAAAAACTGCTTCAAAGCCTAAACGTCTTGGTTGGAAGCATATGCTCCCAACAAATAATATAAGGTGGGTTGCATGACTAACGTAAGGGGACTAGTAAAAAACAATGACATATAAAATAATCCTTCAAGAATACCTCTCTAGGCACAATTTGTAATAATTCATCCCAGTCATTGCTATTGTCTTTAAACCTTAAATATGGCCTGGAGCACCTAAAAGAAAATCAACACTTAGATAACCACTATAACTTTAACTAATAATATAATAGAAAGAAGATAAAATGTCAAGCAAAATAACATCTTTTTATTTAGTAATATTTCTCTTGTTAGTCAAAATAGAATCACAACATGCGATTCATTCTTCATAAATTATTTTAGGAGAACATTGAGATTATATTTGTTGAAGTTATTCTTTAGCTTTAACATAAGAACGAATAGTTGACAATAATTGTACTGTTAGGCCATTTGGGCATTAGATTGTATATGAGAATGATTGAAATATATATGATATTTTGCTTTTGCTAATGCTAATGGGCATCTACAAATAAATTACGCTTTTAATGTTACATAAATGGTTAATGGTACGTGCAAAATATGTACTATAAGGGGATTATCTTCTTCATTTCATTCTTTTTGATTTAAGTAGGAAGTGCTTGGTTTTCCAATATGAAGGTTACATATATTGATCTCCACCATGAGAAAGTCAAGTTGAACATAAAAACGGCCGACAATGACAATCATGGAGGAGACAATACGGAGGCTCATTATTAAGATAATGACCTTGATGACAATCATGGAGGAGACAAATTTTTGCTATTCAATGGCGAGTAGAATCTCATCTTTGATCATTTGGCAGATATGTCGGAGGTGAGCACCAGAGATTAATTAGGTGAAACCCTCAAGCGACATTGCTATGATCAAGATGGCAATTGGTGAGTGGATAACCTAAGCAACTAGGGACAGAGAAGGCACAAAGGAAAACTTAGAGTATAAGTTTGTGACTTAACATTGATGCAACTTAATTAAATAACTGGTTTAATTCTTATTACATGAATTGATTAATTCCAAAATTAGATTTATAGCTGGTTTTTGTGTTAGCTCAATTCCTACTAAAATTACTAAGTGACAAACAATTGAGGTTAAAATATTTATTTGACGCAATTCAAATTTTTAGGGTCTTATTCAAGTCGAGTCGTGTTGTGTTTGATATTGGTACTCTTATTAATAGTTAAAAGCATTCAAAAAAATGAAATTTGGATAATAGAAAGACTAGGTATCTATTATATAATTTAAGTATATCTAAATTTTAATTATCAATCGATGTGAAAAATTTGACTATTACAAGATTCATAAGCAGTGTTTATTCAGAAAAAAAAAAACAACTAAAAAAAGGAAGAAATGAGATATAAATAGTAAATCAAATGTTGTGGATGTAGTTTTTTTAATGGTTTTGTGCTGCAAGAGAATAACTTGAAAATATTGAGGAGAATCTGTTAAGAAGGTGATTTGGTTGACTCTAATTGTATAAATTTGAAACTTTGGCAACAAAAACAAGTTGATTGTGATAGGATTGAGAAATTGAGAATATAAAGATGGATTTGTGGTAAACGATGAGTAAGAAAAGTAAAAAAAAATGTTTGTGTTAAGGGAAGTGTTGAGGACCCGAGGTAGCATCAATTGAGGCCAAGTTATTGAGGTGAAACTTATTGAAATAGATTAGGTAGTTTCATCTATGGAGAGCATTAGGCGCATCATTAAAAAGATTAGATAGCTTTAATGTGGAAGAATTAGGCTAGAAATGACGAAACAAAGTTAATAAAATGGCTTGTTGAAATAAACATGAGTACTGGGAAGTAAAATGATATACTACAATTGAGCATGGCAGGGGATTTTAATGGGATTCTCATTACCTAGAGTGATCATTGACTTGATAGGAAATAATGGTAAATGATACATAAAATTCTGAGGCATTGAGATAAGGATAAGGACTGATAATTTTTTTAGTGGTGAAAACTCTGATCACGACACTGTATTATGAGAAGCTGAGAGCTAAATTCCTCATACATCTCAAATAAAAAGGGTCACTTGGGAAAAAAACTTATTTTCTTACAAAATCATCCATTTCATGTTTTCAGTTGACTTTGAATATTTTGCAGTTCGCCAATATTTTATGATTGCGATTTTTTTTTGTTGGTTCAACATTTCTATATTGGTCTGACTGAAACATTTTTGTTATAATTGAATTCTAATGCTTGTATTTTCAAATAATTAACAAATAGTTGCTTCGTAAACATTCAAATTCAAGTTCCTGGCGACTGCCATGTAGAGCTGTGAATTTAGCTCAAATATTATTAATTGCTCGAAGATTGATTCGAATTTTGACTCAGATCAAGATCAGATCGAAATAAACGAGCCGAGCTACGAGATAAAATTTTGGATTGAATTTTTTTCGAGCCGACCCTAGCTCGGCTTGAGAGCGGATCGTTAACAGCCCTATTGCCATGGAAACTTACTGAAATTTCTGTCTGAATTCCTAAAATACTTTTTCTTATTAGCTGAAGTAATCCTTAATGGCATCACTGAAAATTTGATGGTATGTGTCTATATAATCACCAGTGCATATCATGCTTTCATTTTTTTTTAATGCTGTGGAAGTTTAAAAAACCACCTTGAGTTTAAATTAGCATAGCCATTTTATTGATTTTACATGCCTGCTAATAGCATTTAGTTATCCGTTTTTTATCTTTTATGCTAAATCTTCTTCTAATTTAAGTCGTATAATGATCTATTTTTTCTCATTTTATTTTTTTAATTTATTGTTTGTTGTCAAGGACCATTATGATTTTATAATTATTCTAAAATTGTTTTGGATCAACTATTTCAATGGATTATGCTTTGTGTGTATGCTTATCTTTTGACTTATAATTATTTATCTTTTTATGTCATATATAGGCTGCAGCTAAGCTTTTAGGTTGCTTCATTTGAATTCAGCTAGTTTATGTCCAATGAGCCATGTACTTTGAGATCAATTTCATACTGTACTGATAAATACAATGAATTATGTTGTCTTGATAGACAAAGTTCTCAAAAATTTAGATGAAAACTATTAAATTTCTTCAGATTTTCCTTTTCTATATCTCTCTACTTTAATGATATTACATTTTTTATGGTCCATTGTGCAAGTTTGTGAACGATGCAATGTTTTTAAAAGCGCGCTTTACGGGCGAAGCAAAGCAAAACATTGAAGTTAATTGGCAGGGTTTTTTTTCCTTCAATTTCTAAGTTTTTATTATTGCAATAAACAATTATAAATTGTTCAAAATATAAATTTGCTAATTTAATCTCATTATTTGCCTTCAAGCTATGTATTGTACCACATTATTTTCTACTTTATATTAACTTTTAAATTGTTAATGATTGTATTTATACATTAATAATTTTGTATAATCTATTAGTGCTTTGGTTGATAAAAACACCGTTTCGCTTTACGCTTTACATTTTGAAGCAAAAATTAAGCCTTCCACATTGCATTGCGCTTTGCACTTTGATAACATTAGGTTTATGCGGCTTTAAACTTCTTTCTCAGATGAGTTGCATACTAAAAAATGTAAATACATTGATTTCAGGCTGATAAGTTTACCAGGTTGCATTTGACTTACAAAGATATGTGTAAATGCAGGTTCAGTACCGCATGCATCCATCTCTATCAGAGTTTCCCTCTAATAGCTTTTATGAGGGCACCCTTCAAAATGGAGTAACAATAAATGAAAGACAATCAACTGGCATTGACTTCCCTTGGCCTGTCCCTAACCGTCCCATGTTTTTTTATGTGCAGGTATCCTTTCTTAGCTCTGTTTATGGCACTGCAACTTGAATATACATTTTTGACTTGTTTCTATTAATTTTGTGAGTAATTACTTTGCTAGATGGGACAAGAAGAGATAAGTGCAAGTGGGACTTCTTATCTAAATAGAACAGAAGCTGCAAATGTGGAGAAAATTGTTACCACATTTTTGCGAAGTGGCGTTGTACCTTCTCAGGTCATTTTTTGTTTGGATCTCTTGATTGGTAGTTTTTTTTTTTGGGTGCTCATTTTATCTTAATTAATTCATTTATCTTCTTTTAAATACTGCAGATTGGAGTTATTACACCATATGAAGGTCAAAGAGCATATATTGTGAATTATATGTCAAGGAACGGGTCCCTCAGGCAACAACTCTATAAAGAAATCGAGGTTTGGTCTGATGTTTTACCTGTGTGTCTTGCATGGAGCATGTCATTTAGTACTATCCTTTGATCGAATGACCTTACTGTTCTTTTTTGCCACAGGTTGCAAGTGTTGACTCATTCCAAGGTAGAGAAAAGGATTACATCATCTTGTCTTGTGTGAGGAGCAATGAACATCAGGTACAATCTATTTCATTGAATAGTTCAATGCAACTAACGTGAAATCTGGTCTGAACTAGAAGGTTTATATTAAATGTTACTTGAACTAGAATTTGTAAGAGGAAAGGTTGAAGCTTTCATCCTAAGGATTTTGCTATCTTGAAACCAGTGCTAAGCTATCTTCTGAAACTTTTTCAGTACAAAATATTTTTGGTATTCTATATATTTCCATCTCACGCCGAGAGGGATGACTTTGAAGTTGGTTATGATTTGTTATGGCTGTGGAGTTAGTGCTAATGGGAGTTTTAATCTTGTTATCTAATGTCTATAGTCCACAGAACAAAAGGCATCTCAGGAGTATGAAGCTTGTTATGATTTGATACTCTGGTCGATTTTTGGGTCATTCGGGATGATTTTTGTTTTTTGTTTTTTTCATTTTTATTTTGTTTTATTTATGTTTTGATTTGAAATAAAACATATTTGGTTGCAATGGCTGATAACCTTTAGATGTTTCAAGTGTTTTTAAAAACAAGCTAATTTTATTTTAAAATAGAAAATAAAAACATGCAAAAAAAGTACTAAGCAAATTTGTTTTTCAAAACAGAAGAAAATAAAAAGATAGACAGAAAATATAATTAATCCTAAATAGGCCCTTAATGTTTACTGGTTTGGAGATCGAGAATTTTCTTTTTAGCATCTTTTTGTGTCTCTGATAATGGTATCTTCTTGGCGTGGTACTATTTTTTCTGAAGTATTTATGGGGATAAAATGCGGGGCTACTTATTTATTTGTTAGTAGTCTCTCAATTTTCACATTCATTATTATGCTTTTGCCACTCCAGATGTGCTGGATATGGTTTACTAAAAAATGACAGAAGTCTTTGTTTGGAAATTTCTAGCACTGATTTCAAATTTGAGGCTCTTACACTTTTCTGGGATGACCATCATTTTAGAATGTTGAAATGTGCAACGGATGTTCTTAAATGACATTCTGTAGGGTTTTAGCTACTAGCTACTTATGTTAGGCTAAATGTTTTGTCGTTTCTCATAATGATGAGAGTCATTTTACCAGCAGTTCTTATATCTTGAATTTACCATGCTGATTCTGGTAGATTGGAAGTTAATGGAAAAGTGCAATACATTGGATGTAGGAGGTATTAATTGAAATTTTGAACTTAGTTTTTTTTTTTAGGTAAGTTCATGCAGCATACCATACTTATCAAATAGATTAAAGAAAATTGAGAAAATTTTAAAAGTTTTCAGAATTTGATTGAACTAATTATAAAATAATCAAATAGTTGATTAATCAGTTAAAACTTTCATTTCATTTATTTTAAAATTTACACAAAATTTATTGATGATGAATTGACATTTTTTTTTAAAAAGACACATCATCTAAATTTAACGATGAGTTTAGATTTATTTGAAAAAGGTATATTTTTATATTTTATAAATCTTAATTTTTTATAGAAAATAAAATTTAATTACTTGTCCTAATCTATTTTTCCGAAAAAAATAAATTTTAAATTAATTAAAGTTAGTTTTATTTTTGTAAAATATAACTTTTTATTAATTATTTTTATATATTTCCACACTTTGAAGAATTTCTAACTATACTGATTGGATTGTTTGCTGTGTTTTTTTTTTTAATTTGTTACATTTAATTCTCTCTTAATGACATGGGACTAGTAAACTCTTTCTCCTACTATTACTTTTTGTTCTTAGTATCATTTTTTGCTTTTTATTTATTTTTTCTTCCTATTTGCATGTATTTCTTTATTCAATTGGAGAAACAGTGTTCCTCAATGATTATATACTTTGTCAGGGTATTGGTTTTCTTAATGACCCACGTAGACTGAATGTGGCACTGACTCGAGCTCGCTATGGCATTGTTATATTGGGAAATCCCAAGGTTCTTAGTAAACAGCCACTATGGAATTGTTTGCTGACACATTACAAGGTATTTATTTGACAGATTGTGTGCTTAGTTTCTTTTCTATGCACAGATCACACTTTCTTTTGTATGCGCAGCCTACGTGTTTGGTATTTTGTGCATTTATCTTGCCAATTTTATAGAACTATATAAATTTAGTGATATTTAATTTTCATTCCAATTTAGTATGAATGTTTTCTGAGTGTTTCCCTATTAAATTGAAAATCTACTTGTGAATCTTAGTTAACGTCCTATATACAGACGCAGTCACAGTGTACGGTGATTTATACCATCTGATTCCTCACTTTGAAGCAAGTTTTCTTTTTAAAATCATTCGTCATTTTTATGTTGCTTGATCTACTGTGTTATTTTCTTATGGCACAACACATGTAGTTGGCATTGTGATCCCTAGTAAAATATAGGATAGGTATCAAGCAAACATTGATGTGTACATATATGTATTCTATTTTAGAAATTGGAATTAAAAATAGGATAAAAGTGTCAAAATGATCCCTTGACCCTTTGCAAGGGGCTATTTTAGTCCTAGAGTTGATAAAAGTGTCAGTTTAGTTTTTAGATTCTTTTTATTTGGATTGAAATAGTCCATAATGAAGGCTATTTTATCCCCTTATTAAAAGAGAGCTTGAGTTGCTTTAATATTTTTATAAACTTTGGGCCTAAAATGTCCCCATGTAAATAGTTAGGGGACTATTTTGGCACTTCATTTTAGAAAATATGAACTATTTTAAAAGAGTTTTTGTATTTTATGAAATTCATTTTTGAAAGGTCAACAGGAGTCATGCAATGGTGTTATATGTAAGCACAATCTCCATACATCTTTGGCATAAAATACATGCCATTTTTTGTACATTTGAGAAGATACAGTAAGAGATCATTGAATAATTCACGCGTATGTTTATCATGAGTATAGTACATGAATTTGTTATAGAGTAGCGATACACGTTGGCAACTGAACAATGCACATAAGGTAGCCTTTTTAAAAGCCATAATTTGTTTTTGACAAATATTTCTCAATTATGTAGTGTTTCATTCTGATATTCCTTAAATATAGATTACAGATCTGTAGACCAAGAAAGAAAGACAAGTTTAGATATAACTATTCAAGTGGGGCGGTTAGTTTCTTCAACTGTCATCCACTTTTAAACAAATACAATTAATTGGATATAATGTTTGCATATGAATTGAAATTATCTCCCGTGTTTGTTTCTTCAACTAAATTGAAGATTCATGTAAGTACTTTTTGCTTTCCTAATTGACGATGAATTAAATAATCATTAACAATAAATAAGCATAATCAATTCTTGTACGGTTTGGACAGAACCACCTTCAATGGTTTTTTGTGATGGTTCCTATTACTCTTGTTGCTCCAAACTAGATGTTTTTGACCCTAGTTATATTTTTGCTATCAGGAACGGGAGTGTCTTGTAGAAGGTCCTCTTAATAATCTGAAACAGAGCATGGTTCAATTTCAGAAGCCAAAGAAGGTTAGTTTGCAGCATAAGTAAAAATTGTCTGTTTTTATCATTTTATGTTTTTGTTTTTTTTTGATCTATTTGAATCCTTAGATTCTTCAATTTAACGTTTTTACTGTTGAAGGTGGCTGTAATATAATGATATTCTTTGTTTTGTTGGCAGATCTACAGTGACCGCAGGCTTTTCTTTGGAGCTGGTCCGGGTCTTGTGGCTGGTGATAATTTTGCTCCCGTTAGTTCACCAAGCCCGAATACTGACAAGAGGGGTGGACGGATGAAAGGTTTGTTGTGAATTTTTTTTAACTATTAGAATGATCTTTCTCAATTACTTTATGGGGATTGAGCCATTCGATAAGTGGCAGTGAGCTATCATTTTTTTTTCTCTCTTTATCACCATAGTTTGCTGGATTTTATTCTTTGCATTTTTGACTTACCAGAAAATAATGCTAATATTCATTGAACCAGGCAATTCTTACGTTCCATTTGCACCACCAAATGGTCCACTTAAACCAGGAGTCCACCCGGTGGGATATCCTTTGTCCCGAATTCCTCTTCCACCTTTTCCTGGAGGCCCCCATTCTCAGCCATATGCTATCCCAACTCGTGGAGCTGTCCATGGACCAATTGGAGCCATGCCTCATGTACCACAGACTGGGAATAGAGGGTTTGGAGCTGTTCGTGGCAATGCTGGTGGTCCTATTGGAGGCCATCTATCGCATCAGCATAACTCGCAGCAAGCTTTGAGTAGCTTTGGGTCTGGATTTAATTTTCCTGCAGTGGACAATCTGAATAGCCAGCCTTCCATTGGCACCCCATTGTCTCAAACAGGAATAATGACACAGGTTAGTTTCCAATTTGTTCCTAATTTTATGCTCGAGCTGATTCCATCTCCTATCTGATTTCCATCTTCATTTCTCAGGCACCGGTTCAAGGTCTTAGCCAAACTTTTCGTGATGGATTTTCAATTGGTGGCATGTCTCAGGTATAAGTATCATTTATGCCTGACCATTTTCATTATTTCTGACTCCTATGCGCATGTTATCTAACTCAAAATTATGATTTTACCAGGATTATGGCGATGACTTCAAAAGCCAAGGTTCACACGTTGCATATAATGTTGCAGACTTCTCTACTCAGGTTAGCTTGCCTCCACACAACATGCGCTTCCGTTGTTTATGTTTTTTATGTAGATATATTGCTAGGTTTCAGGTGTTATATTTTGCACCATGTTCCCAATCTATTGGTGAATTCTTTATCTTTCTCAAGATATTGTTTTTTGTCCCCAATGAGTAAGCTACTTTTTATGGTAAACCCCATAAGGATAATGAAGGGATGGCATTAAATGGTCACTTTCAGTTTCTATAATCCTTCTCCCTTACAGATCACAATGCTATTATTTGCCTTAAAATAGTAGCGCATGATAAAAGAATTTAATCTTTTTGATGATCATGGGATCCTATTTTTTGAGAAAAGTTCAATATTTTTAGGCCTTGGTTGTGTTAGACTCGTGTTCCTCTCCTAGATATGATTCAACCGAGCTCTCTATTTTTCAGCATCTCTCTTCCGCTTGTGCTTACCACTACAACAACAAATTCCTCCCTTATTTAGTGGACATCTTGAAGTAGGAGCCCTTTGAAGATTTGAGGTCTCAATTTCTCGGGTGTGGAGTGAAATTTCACGATTGGCAACAGTCCCATTGAGGGAGGAATTTGTTGTTGTTGTAGTAGATACTTAAAAAAAATAAGTGAGATTCTTCTTAAAAATCAAGGGAGAGGCTTTGAAGAGACCAAGGCCAACTCAAAATTTAAATAGGTTGTTGCCCTGATGTAAATTATTGATGCCTTGTTGGATAGGCTAAAGATCAAGTAAGAAACTATGATCCATTAAAGCCCACAATTTCCTAGTCCATCTTCTTTGACATTAATTTCTCTTTAATGCATTTTTATGGGTGACAAAGAGGTAGTATCGAAATATTTGCATTTACATCGCGAAGTTAGTTGATCTAAGTAACATGTTAGTCTTGTATGCTCTCAAGTGAGCCATTGAGGGCCCATAATGTCTTGATACCTCTATAGCGGGCAGCTTTAAAATTTAAAGCATCATACGACAACCAAATGTCTTGTCTTAGGGGTCGTTTGGTTTAGTGGTGGTGTACTGTAAATCTTTTGCATTGATTTAAGAAAATTTTGTGTCTTGTATGAAAATTTACAATTACAATGTAAAATTTTAATGAATTTGAAGTTTATACCTTGTTCATTTTGACTGAATTTAAAATTCGCCGATTTGGCTGAATTTGAACCACATTATTTATGTAAAATTTTATAGGCAAGTCACTGCTGCATTTCGTAGCTTGTTGCAGCTCCCCGCCGCCTCCACCCAGTTGCCGCCGCGGCCGTCGCCCCACAGTTGCCGACGCTGCCTGTCGTTTGTCCCTGATGCCTTTGTCCCTGCCGCTGCAGCAGTCGTTTTCTCGATGCTTTGGTCGCTACCATCGACCCTCCGCTGCTTGCTCACCCGCCTGTTGCTGCTGCTCGCCACCGCCGCCGCTGCCACTCGCCGTCGACCATCGTTTGCCGCCGACCTCCACAGAACGCCGTTCGCTACATGCCACCACCGGCCGCCGATACCCTTTGCACATATAAATATATTATTTTCAACCTACTTAAGTTGGTGAATATAGTTTTATATTAGGTGACTTGAGAAAAGTATTAAAAGTTGGAGAAACAAAAATATGCACTAGGAAGTAAGTAAGACCATTTGTTGGCAATGAGGTCCAACTTTTATCGTTGATCGAGGATGAAGATATTACATGTGACTAGATCAAGAACTAAATGGAGGGGACTAAATCCAACAATGCAAAAGAGAGCACAAAAAATAATGCTGATGAAACATTTAGTGGCAATGATTAGATTATTATTTGGTTATACTAGCAGTAAGTTTAAGTAGTTTTATTTTTTAGTGCCTCATTGTGCTTGAGCAAGCCTCTTACGCAAGGAGGATTAGTCATCAATATCGCTTTGACAACATCCAACATTTTTAACCTCACTAAATCACTAATAGATATGAAGTCAACCTTATCATGATGGAGGGGACTAAATCCAACAATGCAAAAGAGAGCACAAAAAATAATGCTGATGAAACATTTAGTGGCAATGATTAGATTATTATTTGGTTATACTAGCAGTAAGTTTAAGTAGTTTTATTTTTTAGTGCCTCATTGTGCTTGAGCAAGCCTCTTACGCAAGGAGGATTAGTCATCAATATCGCTTTGACAACATCCAACATTTTTAACCTCATTAAATCACTAATAGATATGAAGTCAACCTTATCATATTCATCTAGCCTCAATTCCTTAGAAATAAGGAATATATAGATTAAGTAAAACCCAGGGCAACCTAAAATCCATGAAGTAGATAATATCGAAGTTTTATAAGCATCTTCAAGATTTTGAATAGTCTGACCATCAACAATGCTATGGATGTTTGAGCAATGGAGCAACGGGATATTGAGGACGGGATAAAGTATTTTTGAGCTAAGGATGTTTGAACATTGCTTTATAAAGCTTTAGGCATGCTAATATGGCCCCCTTAAATGATGCTTGTATTGTTATGTATTTGCTTCAATGCGAGGTGTGTTCTAAAAAACTCCTGACAATTTCTGAGGATTCGTGCATTTTTAGGATATAATAACTTTGAATTCAGTTTATAAAAATTAGGACTAGCACCCTAGTAGCATGTTTATCATATATTTTCTTTTTTTTATTCTTTTTAATAAAATATCAAACATTTTTATGTTAGTGTATATATATATATATATATATATATATATATGAATATTATGTTACATTATAGTTTTTTATGGGATAAATTAATTGTATGTTTGTTCAAAAAATAATTTTTCAGTCAAATATTTTTTAGTAAATTTTTTATAGTATTGCCTTAATAAAAAAATATTTGATCTTGACATTTATGGATTTCACTTTTTAGATGTATGGGTGTAAACTAGTGGAGCTTCAGTGAGCTAAGACTTTATTTGTGTTTGACTTGTTTGAAATTTTATTTGTTTGTATTTGACTTATGTTTGAAATTGTTCGTGAATAACGTGTTCACGTTAGGCTCGCTAGAATTCAAATCAAACACAAACCAAATATGAGCTTTATTGAGCTTAAAGAAATAAGATATAAATTTAACCCAGCTTAAGAAAAGTGACTTAATCTTCCTATCCTGCAATTTTCAACTACAAGGATCCATAAACTCCCAACATATACTTCACTTACAATTTCAAATGGCTACAATTTGTATAGTATAAGGTTAAATGTTCAAATGATGTGGGACTAAACAAAAAAATCAATATTTTGTATTTCATGTCCTTGTTATTATGGTTATTGTTTATTGAAATACAGAAAAGTTATACTTCAGTATCAAAATTGTTCTTGTTTTGTACTTATTTTTATGCTATCAAATTGACACCAATCATTGAAAATATTTTAAGTACTAAATGCTAATTCTTGATATGTGGAAAGCAGATTTTTTAAGAAGGTTAAAATATTTGTTGAAAAAACAAGACCTGAAAAATATCATCTAAAATATTTTTCAATGAACTAGTGCCAAAATTGTATGACATGTGGCACAATTTTTATGCAACTCAATCAAGTTAAATCGTGTAATTAATATTTTTTATAGCTAATTTTCATTTTGACCTTTTTTTAAATTGTTCAATACTTATTGCATCAGACAAATAACAAAATTTATTGATTTTTGCTGGATATTACTAAAAAGAAAATATAATCATTATATCTATGCTAGATATTTCAAAACATAAAATAGAACTTTTCTCATTTGCTGGACAACTGTATCACACAATCAAGAACATGGATGAAACGCACATATGGGCATAATACAACTTGTAAAAATATGACGAGGCATACCATGTGCATGATATATTTTTAATAATCGTTTAGATAGATTGTGTAGTTAAATCACCTAATGTTAACGCTTTCTATAAAAAAAAAATACTATGCAAGGAAGTATAATGTCGTATGCTTCACATAAATAGCTGAAGGATGAGCTGAAATATAAATCTTTACAATTAGATTTCAATATTTCATCAGACGTGCTCAATTTTTCTCAAGACAAGAACATTAGAAACCCAAAAAAAGAGTATTTAATCATCAAGCTAATTACATCTTGCATGTGTTCCATTCATGTTAACACGTCTCTCAATTGTGTCTGGCCATATCCCTGCCACGTCCAATTCTAATTTTGACAAAGTCTTGAATTTCAACTAGTCTGATAATTGTCCTACATGGTGCAAATGGCTTTTTCAAGTGTTCATGCTTCATATTTGGTCCCATAAAAAAATGCAATAAATCGATTTATTTTTATTTATAGAATTTTTTTAAGTTGATATTTAAAAAAATAATTACTCCCATTTTTTGATAACTAGGATATTCTATAAAGAACTTGTTAATATATAAGTTCTCTTTCTTTATTTAGGTTTGTCATGCTATTATTTTTTAAAATTCATATTTTTTTAATGCAAAATAATAAAAATAGAAAATTTTGTAATCAGTATTTTCTTCTACTTAATTAACAATGAGCACCGCTAATACAGATTGGTTGAACCGTTAAACATTCTTTTGCTTCATGGTGGTCAGAATTCATATTAGCTGATTTGATTTGCTGCTAAATTGTCTGAAAATGTACAAAATCAGCTTTTCAAACAAAATAGTGGGAAAAAACAGAGAAATTTCTGTAAAGCCTTTGTTGAGAAAGAACGTAATATTCATGCTAGCTTCTTACCACAGATTGCCAGAATGAGAAGCAAATAGGGCAAGAAATACGCTTGAGTTTACATGAATTTAATTTATTTTTTATTGATTCATTAGATTTTTCTATTAATAATTATTATTTCTCTCTCTTTATATATTCTTACTTCAAATGTGCTTAGAATTGATAGGAGTAGGTTATTTTAGTTTAATATTCTATTTTTCTTGTTTTATTTAATAGATTTGTATGGCTGCCTTGTTTTTCATGCTTCTATTTTTGTTTGTTCAAATTTAAATTAAAATAGGGGCATTTGCATACGTAGCACACAATTTTAACGTATTTACATATCTCACACCTAAACTTTCATATATACGCACATAGCACTCAAATCATTAACGTTACATAAAAAATCACACTATTACCACTTTTTAAATTTGAAATACACTTTTTTTTTATATAAATATGAAAGTTTGGGAAATGTTATTATATAGAATTGTGTGCTAGATATATAAATTTTCCATCTATTCAAATGCTCCGTGCAGCTGGTTGGCTGTCATCATTGAAAGCTTCTCTTACTCGGGTGTTCTGCATATTTAATCCTGCAGGTTTCTCAAAGCGGATATGGTCTTGAATATGCTTCTCAAGGCCCTCAAGCTGGATTCCCAAGCTACTTGAATCAGAATACCCAACAAGGATTTACTCATATTGGCACAGGAAATGGTTTCATCTCTCAGGTTACATATTTAGCCCAAAGTTCTAAGGAAGATTTGCATGCTTACCCCTTAATTCCTATGTATTTACATATCGAACACCTAAACTTTCAATTTTTACATATTTGCCACCTTGCGGCCTTCCCTATGCATGAAAAGGTGTATGTCACTTCTTAAAAGTTAAAATAGTGGTATTTTTTATGTGGTATAAATGTAAAGAGTAAAATTTTGATGCTAGATATGTAAATATGTAGGAATTAGGCGGTATGTATGTAAATGCCCCAATTTATAATTCCATGGCATTAGGCTTAACAATTTATCAGGTTTGCTTTCCTTATTTCAACTAAATGGTGCCCTTTTACTTGGGATTACATGCAGCATGGATCTCAAGGACTATTTACACAGGCTGGTTTCAATAATCCTTCTCAAGACGAGTCTCTTCAAAGCCATTTTGGCGGACCTGGTCCACTACAGTCGCAGGTCCAAATCTTGTTAATCATCTCGATTCCTTTAATCGGAAGACTTGCATATTTATCCTCAATTCATATGTATTTACATATCAAACACCTAAAATTCAACTTCTACATATATGCCACCTTACCTATGCATGAAAAGGTGTATTTCACTGTTAAAAAGTTATAATAATGTTATTTTTACGTGATATGAATTATTTGGCTGGTATAAATGTACAAAGCGAAGTTTAGATGTTAGATATGTAAATACATGGGAATAGGATGAGCATATAACTAAAAGCCCCATTTTTTATACTTCATCTATTCATTTTAATGTTCGGCACTTGAAACTTTTATATAAATGCAGGGCCTCTTGAATCCAATTTATTCCCAACCTTTCACCCAATACAATGCCCAGCCTTTAAACATGCAGCAACCTTCACAACAACAGAATCAGAGCTCAGCTACCCAAAAACTTCACTATAATGGCTGATCCAATCTATAATCTCATGGTTCCCGTGGGGTTAAAATTCTCCCTATGAGCAAAATATGATTTTTGCAAAATTTTTGCCATTCTTGGCTCATGAAAGGTACAGAAGTTTGGGGCCGGCTTGCTTCTCCATTATACACATATCGGACCCCCCAATAGAACCTGATTGGGGTTTTCAGTAGAGAAAAATTTTGGTTTTCGCAACGGCAACCAACCTCCTGCACGGCCAGAGTCAAAGAAAGGTATCTATCCATTTATCTTTCCTAATTACAATTTTAACTATTTGGGGACAAATAAAACAAATACAAAAGAAATGAGCATATGTGTATATAAAAAGTCAAGTGGCACATATACGAAATATCGGAGCTAGGTATAAGAATTTAAACTAGGTGTGGGCTCAGACTCGGGACCAGAGGCCCTATTAATTCTCGAGGGACAACTATAGGCAACCATAAGCAATCTCTGTGCATAAAATCTAAGTTCAGATATAAGTTACCAATGAGATGATAAAAAGAGGGCAACTCCTAGCCCAATCAAGGTGACTAACAAATAGACTTGTGGAAAGTAACACTTAAAATTTTTAATTTGTCATGCGTATAAATATAGTTAAACTTTCAGTTACCAGTCAAAAAAATATTAGTGTCACAAGGAAAAAAGATTTTTTTATATTATATATGTGTTTTGTAAATCTGATGGTCCACGAGTTAGTCACGTTATTGGGCTAAAGCTACCAGCAGCCTAGGAAAGCACGGGCAACTTCTCACCAAATGTTGGCGAATAGTAGTGTCAATCCTGCACCCTTACGAGGTCATCGGGTCAGAAGATACTATTCTATTATCTTGTTTTTTAGCACCAGAAGTGTTTCGCATCGTTGCCCTTAACCCTAAACCTTCCAACTTATAAGCCAATCCGATAATCAATATGAATCTCCCAACAATTATAACTATCTCACATCATAAGACCTAAGGAAATGGATTTCCAATTAATTCTACAATACAAATCATCCACCTTTGAGTTTAAAAGTCAAAATTTAAGTATATACATATAAACATTGTATGCTATGCGTACAATCTTTCCAATAATATACTCATATCCTCAGACAATCAAATTCAGGCATTAAGGATAAAATAGATTGTTTGAAGCTGTGCACATCACTATAATGAAGGATAATAGAAGGCCCGAATTTCATATTTAGATATTACCCCATCAACATTATGAGATATTTACCTACATATCTCACAGTCTTTATGTATTTATATATCCAGCATCCAAACTTTCATTGTGAAATATATGCCTCCTTGTTTATGAAAATGCACTTCTTTCATTTCGTTTTCTCTTAAAGATCACAATAGCAGAGTATATATCTTTTTATGTGTTAGGAAAGATTTAATTGGCATAAATGTAAAAACAAAATTTTGGTGTTAGATTTGTAAATACATAGGAATTGGGTGGTATGTACGTAAATATGTGAAAGAATATAACTGATTACAAAAATCTGTATATAAAAATTGAAAGCATAAGAGAAACTACAAAACCTGCACGTATATTTATTCTGAGTGATATATGTATGTATATACATTGCAAACCTGAAAATAATGAAACCTTCGTTTGAAATCCAAGCATATAAAAACAAAGGTACTTGTACATTTTGTTTTAGACACTATGCATGTCACAAAAAAAAATTCAGAATATCGTAAAAATTTGTTAAGATATATTAGTTGCGGCTATGAGTTTAATATGAATTGCTGAAATCAGCTCAATCAACACTCAGCTATAAGTTTAGACTATCAAATAAGCAAGTTGACTTCAATAGTACTTGATTCCATATGGACTGAACAACATTTACTGTTATGGAGTATAGCAACAACAGATTAGTCAAGTAGCGAGCAGATTACTTAGACCAAACACATCAGCATATAAATGGTTAATTACAGTTCAGATATATGTATGTATGTATGTATGTATGTATGTATGTATATATATATATGCATGTATGTATGCATATGTATATAACACTTAAATTTAATATTTACTTATATAATATTTAGTATTATAATCACATCAAAATATTGCATGAAAATATATTTTTTATTTTGCAAAAGTTAAGCCTTTATGATATTTTGGTGTTATAAAAATGGGCGCATTCTTTTTCGTTCAGTAAAATAATTTTTTTTCTGATGTTATCCCAAAATTATTTCACCGGAAATGTAAGTTTTTGGAGCTTCTCTAAACGAAACTTAGGAAGTCACTTGTATAAATACAAAAGAATTAAGTGATATATATGTAAATCTTCATAATCTTTAGTAATTTTTAATTCTATAAGTATAAGTTTAGTTGTTAATAAAGTGATGGAGGAGTCTCATTGCAAGAAGCCCTTACTTTCAGTTTTCTAAACACATTCTTTGGATTCCACTGAATCTGGATACACCTTTTCGATGCAGAGAAGACAACTTTTGTCACAAAAAATGAGTATGAAGTTATAATGTGATGCCTTTCGGCTTAAATAATGTTGATAGAATCTAACAAATTTTGATTATTGCAATTTTAGAAAATAAAAATGAAGAAATATTGAAGTCTACATTGACGATCTCCTGCTAAAAAGTAAATCGCTAGAACAACATTTACAAGTGCTAAGGGAAACTTCTGCAACTCTGAGAAAGTTCAACCTAAGGCTTAACCCTCTAAAATGTACCTTGGGAGCCCGCTCCAGAAAATTTCTCAGGTGCTTGCTCACACCCCAAGGATTAAAGTCAAATCCTGAGAAAGTTCAAGCAAAACAAGACATGCCGCCTCCCAAGGATCTCAAGGGAACGTAAGTCCTAACCAAACATATTGCAGGCTTAACAGATTCATTTCAAAATCTGAAGACCATTCTTGTCTTTTCTTCAAAAATATTAAAAGCTCTAACCAATCTGCTTGGACTGTGGAGTGTGTTCAAGCCTTCACACAATTAAAGGTTTTCTAACGTCACTTTCTTTGCTGCAAATCCCAAGTGCAGGAGAAGAATTCTAAATTTATCTTGGTGCTGGTAGAGAGGTTGTCAGCTCAGTACTCATTTGACTGACAAAATATTCAAGGGACTTGAACGAAGATACATGATAATGAAAAAACTCGCACTGGCGCTAGCCAGGAAACTACACTCACTTAATTCCAAGCCCACATGATACACGTCGTCACTGACCATCCTCTAATGTTTGCATTGTCCAAACCAAACCATTTGGGGAGACTACTCAAATGGGCAGTAAAATTAAGCATTATTTTCACACCCAAAGTGGCAATCAAGTCTCAAGTTGTTATTCAATTCCTGTTTGATTTCTTTCAAGGATTGATGAGTGTAGAAACCAATGTCAGAAAAAATAAGATCTAGACACTATATTAATGAAGCCTAAGGAATGGGGCAGGCATGGTATTATAGAGTCCATCCAAATCCATCTTTAAGCGATTCTCCTGATGTTTTAGCCTACATGTCAGAGGAGACTCTGTGGAATTATTCCTTGAAAGATTTTTCGTCGTTCAGGTGAATTCCTAAAAGATGGGATGTTTAATGATTTTTTTGTTTGCTATAAACAATTGCACAAATAGCCTAGCAAGCTCTTTGAAGGTGTGTATAGTGACTCCAGAGAAAGAGTGGAACCAAGTATGAGCTTGAATCTTGAGAGTGGCGGAAAACACTTAATAGAGAAGCACATCAGAGACACGATGAATGTGCGTCATGGTTTGATTATAGTCAAGGCGTTCATAAGGGTCAATTGCCCCTTCATAAGAATCATTGTTACGAAGCTTTAACTCCGGTAAGACTGGGTGGTGCAGCACCGCCTCGGCCTCGATCAAGGGTGAAGACTTAGAAAGTTATGACGATCGGGGAAATAATCCTTATCTTACGAAGAAGTCTTCTAAACCACGCGCTGAGCTTATAACAAATAAAGCTATTAGGAGCAACAACAAGATGTGGCAGGGCTAAATTTCTTGTGAGCACCAGAGGGTTACCGACCGACCTAGCTGCATGGGACTTACCCTATTTAGAATGATCCACTATAAGTTGGTGAGTTTATATATGAGCTCTTCTTCGACAAGCAGGAAGGTTACATAGTTTCTTGATGTACAATGCTCAGATGTAGAAGGCCTCGTTGTATAATGGATAGGATCAATTGTAGTTGAGTAGCCGTCAGGACTTCGGTGCGCCATTTATGATGTGTTTTGTTGCACAATTTTCGGGACGATGTAGCGCTCTGCATGATGTTTTTTTACTTCACGACGTAGGATGCTAGTTTGCATGGTGCTTTGTTGTGACGATCAGAGGGCGACCGATGGTAGTCAACGACGACTAGTGAGCGGTGTTTGGCGGTGGTCTGCATCTGAGGGAGTGGGAATTGTTCCCCAAGCTCTTCGGTCCAGAGCAACGTTGAAATTCGACTCCTTCCTCTGTCCAACTCTCCATCTAGCTCCCCCTTCGTGAATGGGGTAAGACTCTATTTATAGAGTCTAAGAGTTGCCTAGAACTACATCAGAAGACCCAGAGAGATTCGAACAATCAAACGATATTTTATGCACATTTTAGTGCCTTAATGATGTCAAAATTGAGTGATATTGGACTTGTTGGATTTGCCTCATCAAGATGCTCTATTCGACGATAATGTTGTCAGATCTGTAATCCATTTGACTTCTAATGAACAACCCAAAGCTTTCAGAAGTGGTTTAATGGCTTGAGCTGGGCTTAATTTAACTCGGATTGGGTCAATTTTGGTGTCATTGGGTTTATCTCGTTTAGTCAATCAGTTTGATTGTAAGTTTGCTGAAATTAGAGTTCTAAATTATTTTTAATTCGAGTTTGAAGGTTTTTGCTCAAAAAATTATGTCAGGATTTGTGCCCTGCCTCAAAATCCATGCCAAATAATGAAATTTTTTTTGATGGCCCATCAATACTCATAAGTTTTATCCCAAAATTTAACAAGTCGCTTTTAATATTCAAATTTTTTTTATAAAATGTAATTAGAAAACGAAGGAAAAACCAAGATATAGACATTAAACAATAGAATCGACCACTGCAATATAAAAATTGAAGGTCATTCTTACGTATTTACATATCTAACACCTACACTTTAATTTTGATATTTATCCCACCCAAATCATCAATATCATATCAATAATATAACTTTTTGAATCCTTACAAAGTGAAAAATACCTTTTTATTGCAAAGATAATGTGACATATATACCTAAAAAGTAAAATTTAAGTGTTAGATATGTAAAAATATAAGAATTTAAGGTTACGGATGTAAATCTGCCAATTTAAATTTGGGCTCATTTATAAAAAATAGTTTCTTAATTAAGTAAATTAGTATTAAGAATCAGGTTAGTGAAAAAATTAAAAATTTTCTATCCGTACTCTGGGCATAGCTTTATTTGCGGACTCTCAGTAATATACCGTCATATGTGTTATATCGGACCCACCTACAAAAATATTAAAATAGAAGTGTGGAATACGCAATAACATCGAAATAACCTCCGAACCCTAAAATAACATTGTGGATGTTATTTCGTTTTTTCGGGGTTATTAAAGAGAAACTCATATATTACACTTCAATAACCTCGAAATAACCTCTGTAGTGTTATTTCAGGTTTTAAAGTGGATTCTCAGAAGTTATTTCGGGATTATTTTGGAGTTATTAAAGTAGAATATATGTGTTTCTCTTTAATAACCTCGAAATAAGTTCCACAGTTTCACTTCAATAACCCGGAAATAACATATGCGAAGTAGCACGCGTGACGGTTTATTATTGGATTCCACGCCTGGCGGCATTTTTGTACTTTTTTTAATTTTTTTTTTATTAATGTGACCCTAAATTTGCTTAATTAAGAAGCTCCTTATTATAAATTGACCTAAAATTTGACCTCTCGATGTGGAAAGATTAAAAAATAAGCAATCTATATATATATATATATATATGGGGTCAAATTTTAGGTCAATTTATAATAAGTATAGATTGCTTATTTTTTAATCTTTCCTGTTAGGTGAACGTTTATGTACAGTTTCTTTCAACATCGAGGGAAAATTGAAAAAAAGGTCTAAACCGAAGCCAAAACGAAATTCTCCAGCTGAGGTTGTGGCGGGCGATCGAAACTCTCTGTGGATCGCCATTCTGTGCGAGCTCTTGAGGGCCAGTGGGAGGGAGAAGTAGAGAGCTCCCTTCCTAAACCTAGAGAAATAGGGAGAAGATGGAGGCTCATTACACGGCGCTCTCATTCTCAGGTTCCTCCTCCGCCCCGCCCTCCTCCCCTTGATTTTCTTTGTTGAATTCAGTATTATTGAATAGATTGTTACTGAGCGTCCCGGATTCGTTAATTTTTGGATTTTTCCCTTTTTGTTTTTTATTAGATCGGAGAAATTATCTTTCTAATGTGTGAACAGGAAGAAGTTAGGTAGAGCCGAAACAGGAAAAAGAATGTCGAATGCAATGTTTTATTTGGGGATTTTTTTTTCTCTCATGCGTGAATCATGATTCTGTTAATTTTTCGCTACAATTATAATTTGTTTTTTATGTAAGAACTAGTTTGATTTTGTCAATCACATTGCAGGAAAATTTTCTTCTGCTTGCTGACCTGACAAAGCCACAATTTGATCTTGCTGGGATTATTTTATAAATCAAATGTTTGATTCTAAGTAAACTAACCTAAATTGTTTTGTTGGTTTCTTCAAGTACATGATTGTTCCATAATCACTATGTTTGGATATGAGAATAGATGGGAGGTTATATTTGTTGTAAATAAACTACTTCTAAAAAGTACTTTGCTTAAGCTATTCTCAAAGCTAAAGAGTTGTGACAATTTTTAATGAAAAAGAAAAACAAGCTTACTCTCAATTCTATCTGAGCTTGTCGAATGGAGTTTATGCTCATTTTAAGTTGGGGACTTGAGATAATTTTATGTACAAAGGAGGGCAAATAAACTCGATTCTAGCCAAAGAGGTCGGGGAATGTCAACACGATTGATACCCCTTACTATTCATCTACTGTTCACTCTTCTTTCTCTCTTTTCCTACTCTCGATTCCTTGGAGTGTGATTCATGGACAAATTTGGATGCAACATCCTAAAAGGTGCGGTTAGCACAGATCATGCCACAAATAAAAAGAAGAACAAGCCAAAGAGAAAAAAAATCAACAGAATGCCTGTAACATAGAGTGCACTATGAATTTTCTGAACCAGCAGATCCAGGAGTTGAAGGATCAAAAGTTGGATGGCATCTAAGATGCCCTGGCTTGGAGAAGAGAGCGGCAGCCCTAAGAAGAAGGGTCGACACCCAACGGCCAAAGTGCCTCCCTAGCTCTGAAAAGAGAAGGGGACTCTAAGTACTTCGATATTGTCGGATCGACACTGATCAACCGGCATAAGATCGAGCATATTGGACAAATGGGCATGCTGAAGCAGCCAACAAGATTATTTTAAATTTGTTGAGGAAAAGGTTGAAGGAGCCAAGGGGAATCAAGCTGAGGTTCTCTCATATGTTTTTTGGGCAGTTTGAACAACACCTTCCACGACAACCTCAGTCAAACTCTAATTATGTTGTCACACATGATGGAGGCAATGTTGTCGGTCAAATACAATCATCACAACCAAAGAGTAGTGACAACTTTGGCGTTCATTGAAGCAGAATTAACTAAGTGGCCAGAAACAAATGACGAGAGAGTGACGTTCATGCTCGGCCTTGTTGATGAGAAACGAGCTTACCCAATTCTTTGGTAGGAGGAGGTGAAGAGGAGGATGATTCGATAGTATAATAAACATGTTTGAAAGTACCTTCGTCGTCGGGGATCTCATGTTGAAGAAAACTGACCCAACCATGTTAGGACAAGATATGAAAAAGCTCAACCAGACATAGACCAAGCTCTTCATCATCGAAAAAAAGTAGCTCCTGAGGCATACAAGCTGAAGACCCACATGGGAAAGGAGACCCTCAGATATGGAGTGGAGACGACTTAAAGAAATTTTAACCTTTAAAAATTTTTGTATCTCAAATGAATAAAAACAAATGTATTGTCGTTTCAAATCTTATAATATGTTTTTAATTACATGAAAAGTTTGTTAAATAAGATTCACTATTTATACAAATGATCCTAGTTCTGATCAACAATCGTGAAACTCGAGAGGTTAATGCCCCTCTATAAATGTAAAGATCATTTCATGTGCAAAAGAGGACATAGACGCCTGATTCTAGCCAAAAAGGTCGGGAAAGGTTAACATAATTGATAAATTTACTGTTCACTATTTTCTCTATTTCTGCTTCTCTCTCTCCTCTTTCTTACACTCTCTATTTCTTATGTGTGATTCATAGGCAAATCAGGATTCAACAGTACGTAAATATGTTAGAATTGTGTGGTTGCATGCAAATTCTCCAATTTTAGTTAAAAGATTATTTGGTTGGCACGGATCTTATTATTACCTTGTTCAAACTATTGTCTTCGTTGCATTGGTCATATATTCTTTCTAACTATTGTCTTCGTTGCATTGTCAGTGTGTAGATCTGTTATAACGCAAGTGCACGAGTTGACTTTAAATAGGATGTACTAATTATATTTAAACTCTCATTTGTTTGCTTGCAGATAAAATATTTGTTTTACAAAATCTTGATTTCATATAATAAATTTTGCTGTTTCGCAGATTTGTCTTCTAGCTTCCAACCAAAACCTGTAATATGATTTAATGGGACTAAACCACCTAAAGCAAAAATGTATTTTAGAGATTATATAATCAAATATGCCCAAGTTTTATACTCTTCTTGTTTTGAATTGTATCCATCCTTCTATATTTAACACTCATGGTCTCCAATCATGGCTAAAATTCTTATATTTTTTATTCTTTTTTATTTAATTATAATAAAATTTCAAATGAAGGAGACCATGAGCAAGGAAACCAGCACCTCCCAAAAGACTTGATGCCACCTCTCACCTCCAATTTGCATCACTGGAAATGGTGGCTACTTGTTTTCCTCAACATCTTCTTCCTCCTCGTCGGTCAAACCGCGGCTACTCTTCTCGGCCGTTTCTACTACAACCAAGGAGGAAACAGCAAATGGCTTGCCACCCTCATCCAAACGGCCGCCTTTCCCATCCTCTTCCTCCCTCTCATCTTCTTTCCCACCACTTCGTCTTCCCCCGCCACTAGCCCCAGTTCACCAACCACCAAACTCGCCCTCATCTACGTAGTTCTCGGCCTCATAATCACCGCCGATAATCTCATGTACTCCTACGGCCTCCTCTACCTCCCCGTCTCCACCTACTCCCTCATTTGCGCCTCACAGCTCGCCTTCAACGCCATTTTCGCCTATTTTCTAAACTCGCAGACCTTCACCCCTCCAATCCTCAACTCCGTCGTCCTCCTCAGCTTCTCCTCCACTCTTCTCGGCATCGACGAGGATTCCTCCGGCGACTCCCCCCACATTCCCACTGGAAAATACATGCTTGGTTTCATACTGACCCTCGGAGCTTCCGCAGCCTACTCATTAATCCTCTCCCTCATGCAACTCGCCTTTGAAAAAGTCACAAAGACGGAAACTTTTGCAGTGGTTCTCGAAATGCAGATCTACACAGCTCTGGTTGCTTCCTCTGCTTCGCTTATCGGCCTTTTCGCCAGTGGCGAGTGGAATGAATTGGGCAGCGAGTTTGAGGATTTCGGCAAAGGGAAGGCTTCATATGTGATGACTCTGGTGGGAGTCGCGGTGGCATGGCAGGTGGCTTCTGTTGGTATCGTCGGCTTGATCTTCGTTGTTTCATCGCTGTTCTCGAACGCCATTAGCACGCTCGCTCTGCCAATCATTCCCGTATTCGCCGTCGTTTTCTTCGGTGATAAGATGAACGGGGTGAAGATTCTGGCCATGTTGATTGCTATATGGGGGTTTTTATCTTATCTTTATCAGAACTATTTGGATGATTTAAAAGTAAGGTCTCTGAAGGATGGAAGTGAGATTTCTGATTCTTTGCTCCTTCATGCTGAAACTGCTTCAGGTAATTATTAGTTTTTTTTTTTAATAAATGTTAAATATTGTAGATCATCTAGGAATTATTAATCATTATTATTTTTTCATTTTTCTGTTATACTATAAGCAAAAACTTGTTTGATTATAGCACATTCCTTGTTTTCATAAAAGAAGTATTTTTGTTTCCAAATAGGTAAACATATTTGCTAGTGCATTTTGGTATTTCCAAAGATATTCCGAACAATTATTGTTAAATCCTAAACTTTCCTAATTTCATGCATAACACTTAAATCTTTAACATCACATTGAACAACACTCTTATTAATTTTATAAAAGTGATGTACACTTATTCATGCATATGTTCATGACACCTATTTGTTATAAACGTAAATATCAAACTTGAGGTGTTAGATATATGAATAAATAACTATTTAATGGTATGTATATAATATAAGTTTTTCTTTTTTTTTTTAATTTTTTTCTTTTTTACTAAAAGCAAAAACATGTTTGTTTCATCATTATAAAATTTTTCATTTGCTTTTTTATAACCATAAATTTTCTGTGGGTATTTTCTAGCTAGCTCCCTTCATAAGATTTAATTTTGGTTTATTATTAGTTGTATAGAAATATGTGTTGTTCTGCAAATGCATTCTTTCTGTATATAAATAATTATTGAAATGTTTAGTTATGTGTGTGTTTTTTTGAACATATAAAAATTAAAATATTAGTTATTAATCCAATATAGTGGTTTTTTTTTCAGCGTTAGAGGGAGAAAAAAAAAACTAAATTTCCCAATGTAATGGGTTTTTATAATTAGCTCGACTAGTGATGTGGTACTTCAGATTGCTGTTTCTCAATGCAATTAGTATGAAATTTAAATTTATTCAAAATAAAAATCTACATATCTTAAAATAATGGATATCAGGAGAATATATTGACATAAGCCACAAAAATCATTAGAGATATTTTAAGATATATGTAATATAAAATTTGATGTATTCTTATATATTAAATTCATTTCAAAATAAATTAACAACTTTATAATATATTGCAACAGGGCAGATAAGAATTTTATATTTTAGTCTCGGTGCTTAAAAGTCACCATGTAGCGGTGCTGCTGACGTGGCAAATGCATTGTCGATCAAAAGGACAACAGGCGTTCCACTATCAGCTAGCATCTATGAGAAGGGACAGAACAACGCCTAGGTTCTGGTTTGGGACGCCTAGGCTTCACTGACCTGGAATGTGCCATGTAGGACAAGATAAAGTTTGTATCTCAAGTTCTAACAGATGTCAGCAAGGCGCTACTAATACCCGTCCAATCAGTCGTCACCCTCATGACCTAAAGGTTTGACTTTTGGTGGCAATGTGGTGCGACAGTGTGGCGCTCTACATGAGCTCCATAGCCATAGCTTTGATGACGGTCCGATTGGGGGCAGCGTGTGCGCCGGTGGGCCGGCCGTATGGGTCGATTCAGCTTGCGTTTATCATAAAAATTCAAACGCAGTTTCAGATAAGCTGGCGAAACGCGCGAACCAAACGGTACGACGACGTTTTGAAAACGCCGCCCGCACTTATAAGCTGCCTCAAACGGACTCTTAGGCACTGATTTTGTGTGTAGCGGTTTTGCACAACGGCGCTACGGTGCAAAATTAATCCCGAGAGTCCCAAACTCTTGGGTCACCTCAGGCAACAGTGGTAGGGTCAAGCGTTGTGATGCCGTAGAATGGCGTTGCATTGCAGACCATTGCTTTGCAGACCAAAAATTAAGCAAGTTTTATGCGTCTGTTTGGGGCAGCTGCAGCTTCTTTATTGCATCTGAGATGCCCCAGGAAGCTGTTGCTAGAAAGTTAGTAGATAATATATTTTAGCATGTTGAAAACAACTTTGAGGCAATTGTTTCTGGACAAATGATCATTTTGTCTCTGTGAAGTAATACTATTTATAACAGAACTGTCAGATTCTTATATTTAATACTTTAATAGCATTAATTTACTTCATAATAGTACAAAAAATTAGATACATAGGTCACTTAAGAGCGAGTAACTAGAGTGCAAAGAAAGTAAAAAACTGTTAAAATTACAACTAATATAATGATGATATTGTTTTTATAGTTTGGGGCGGCACCTCACGAAATAAATAGTCCCAAATGGACCCTAAGTATTTGAAAACCTCATACATTTAACCTAGGGGTCACTTTTGCACATAACATAATAACACAAACTAACATATTTCTTCATTAGAAAAAAAAAAAATCCATAATTCGGAATACAAAAGATACAACTCCCTAAACGAGAGGAAAATAGGAATAATAAAAAACATGAGAACACAATAAAAAATGAACAGAAGGCTTCTCGTCCCCCATTTCCTCATCGTTATCATTGTCATTCTCGGTTCCACTCGACCCCGCCTCTGGTAAAGGGGACGCTCGGTCTCAAGTTCTAACAGATGTCAGCAAGGCGCTACTACTCGGGCTAGGTGGCGTCGTAGCGGTGAGGTGGCTCTAATACCCGTCCAATCAGTCGTCACCTTCATGACCTAAAGGTTTGACTTTTGGTGGCAATGTGGTACGACGGTGTGGCGCCCTACATGAGCTCCATAGCCATAGCTCTGATGACGGTCCGATTGAGGCAGCGTGTGCGCCCGTGGGCCGGCCGTATGGGTCGATCCATAGCCTGTATTTACTGTAAAAATCCAAACGTAGTTTCGGATAAGCTGGCGAAACGCCCGAACCAAACAGTACGACGACGTTTTGAAAACGCCGCCCACACTTATAAGCTGCCTCAAACGGACTCTTAGGCGCTGGTTTTGTGTGTAGCGGTTTTGCACAACGGCTCTACGGTGCAAAATTAAATCCCAAAATTAATCCCGAGAGTCCCAAACTCTTGGGTCACCTCAGGCAACAGTGGTAGGGTCAAGCGTTGTGATGCCGTAGAATGGCGTTGCATTGCAGACCAAAAATTAAGCAAGTTTTATGCGTCTGTTTGGGGCAACTGCAGCTTCTTTGTTGCATCTTAGATGCCCCAGGAAGCTGTTGCTAGAAAATTGGTTGATAATATATTTTAGCACGTTGAAAACAACTTTGAGGCAATTGTTTCTGGACAAATGATCATTTTGTCCCTGTGAAGTAATACTATTTATAACAGAGCTGTCAGATTCTTACATTTAATACTTTAATAGCATTAATTTACTTCATAATAGTACAAAAATTTAGATACATACGTCACTTAAGAGCGAGTAACTAGAGTGCAAAGAAAGTAGAAAACTGTTAAAATTACAACTAATATAATGGTGATATTGTTCTTAATATGCAGACGGTATATGTCCCGTGCTACACTGTCTTCTAGTAATGCCCTCCACTCCAGATCACTATCGGCAATGAAATTCGTTGAACTGTTTGCCCATCAAAGAAGCAGCACTTTTATGTGATGCATGCATTAAGAAAAAAACAAAAAAAAAAATTATAATAAAATACATCAAAATTTTTTGCAATAAACTTCATCCAATGGTTGACTCCCTCTATGATTTCCTAATTAAAATCACACCCACACACACATCATCCAATGGTCAACTCCATGTATGGTCTCCTATTTAAAATCACACGCGCACACACACACACACACACACACAAAACATATATACATACATACATACATACATACATATATTTGTGTGTATGTGCGCACACGCGCATCACCTGCTTCTCAATAAAGATGTTTGTGCTGAAATTGAAGTAAGGATTTTTCAAGGTAACACAAGCAATGAAATTTTCCATCGAAAGCAGATCAAAATAAGTACTCATGTTTGTAGGCTTCCTGTTTAAACATATTACCATGCTCCACCTTACCCCAAGCAAAACATGCTTCACGAGATGCTCGGGAAGATTCGTCTCCACGCGGGTTTGGCTTCGCAAGAATCTAGGGCAGAAGAGGCTCTTCGCAAGAGGCTGGGGAGCCGCAGGGCAATGGAGGTCTAATTAGATCGATAACGCGAGGCCGTGGGGTCGATAATGCGGTCCGCATTCTGCCTAAGTGTCCTTTCTCGAAGGCCCGGGCTTGCAAGTCAAATTGCCGGCTCTTTGCTTCTCCTGGTGGCTTAGGTGGTACCCAAGAGATCCACCTTCCGGGCAACGCGATCCCGGGTAGCCTTTCTTACATGTGAGCACGATGGAAGCCTAGCAGAAATGAAAGAGATGTCACGCTAAAAACCACACCAACAATCGTTTCAAAGCTTTCCACCCAATGTTACGTACGTATGACTCAATTCTTATGTATTTGCATATTTACTCTTGAACCTCATTTTTTACATGCCTGCCATCTTACATATGCATGAAAAACATGTATTCACTTTTTTAGAATTTAAAATGGGGGTATTTTTAGGGGTCACTTTTGCACATACGTAAAAAAACATAATAACACAAACTAACATATTTCTTCATTAGAAAAAAAAAATCCATAATTCGGAATGCAAAAGATACAACTCCCTAAACACAAAATTTTAGGTGATTTAATTTATACCATACATGATCATGCATAATTTGAAGAAAACAAGGTGAGGACAAGGTTAGAAGTTTGAACTAGCACTTTGAGATTTTGGCCTGAATTAGGCGTTTTGCTTTCTTCTTCTCGCTTTCCCCCCCCCCCCCCCCCCCCCCCCCACCGGCTTTCAAAGAACATAAAAAGTCAAACTAATTTGATAAAATCGGTAAATTTTGCTTGGATTTTCTTTTCCATGAATCTGGTGGCAAAGTTTGAAAACTTCAAATATGACTTTTTTTATGTGATTTTTGGAATGTATGAAGTTGTGTTCATAGGTATTAAGATTCATATCAGACTGTTTAAAGCATTAAAATTCCTTCTTGAGTTCACTTATAACTGAAATACATGATACGTGCAGTACTAGTTTGCATTGAAAATCTTATTTCTATTATTGCAGATGTGGCAGGCACTTAATCAGAATAGGGAAATCCAGATTCTGCAGTGAATTCAATCAAATGACCTATTAGATTTATAATAACAATTAAATTCCTAGCTGTTATTACTTATTATTTCTTGTCTATTAGTTTATTATATCTTGCCTTTTCTACTTTATTTTGTTTTATTACTTTCCTATTTAGTTTATTATGTTTTATATATATTTTTTTATTGTGCCTATTGTAATTGTATTTAAATACTCTTTTATCAATAAAGTTGTGCTGCTCTATTCCAAATCTCAACATGACCTGGACTTATCCTTCCATAAACACCCTACAAATATCATTTATTACACAATATATTTTTTCTTTTTTAATTTAACTCAATATATAGTTTTTTTTTTTTCTGTAGCATTTATACTTCAACCTAAACCATTAAATTGTCGTAGGAACAGCCCAGAGGGGGTGGATCGATCTTTTGCAGACAGTTATATTGTAATGAAATTTTAGAGCTCATGTTTGTAAGATTCTGATGTAAAATTGAATGAAGTTTAGATCCAGCAATATTAATCAAATATTTTTGAAAAAATTAGTAATCTTCTTCAACTTAAATATTTGAATTAAGGAAGATTTACATACATGCCACTTAATTACTATCTATTTACATATCTAACATCTAAACTTCAATTTTCACATGAGTCTCACTTTACCTATGAGTGAATTTTTGAAAGTTAAAATATTTATATTTTTTATGTGATTATGAAAATTTTGTGTGCTATAAAGATAAAAAGTAAAATTTAGGTGTCCCATATGTAAATACATGCATGTAAACTGGGTGGCATGTATGTAAACACAGCACTTAAATGTCTTCAAATTTATTTCGAATGTGTTTATTTTCAGGTATTTTAAGCAATGTTCGAATGTCATAAATATAAATATCATCATTTGATACAAATAATATTTTTAAAATTAATATTTTATGTTTTAATTTTAGAGTTTATAGAAGTATGAAAATAATTCTTAAGTCTTTTAAAATTGAAATAATATTCATTGAGAATTATGAGAATTTAATTTTAAAGTAGCAGAGGACTACTAGGAACTATTTTGGCACTGTACTAAAATAATAGAAGAGCCGGGCCATGCTTGCGATAGAAAAGATGCTTGAGAAGGACGCACACCTCATTGAAAACAGGTTGCGTTGCGGAGAATGCAATAATTGAAATGGTTGGGAAAGAAAGCGCCATTTTACAGAAACCTACTGAAGTTGCAAATCTTTATCTTTTTAAAACGAAATTCTCCAGCAAATGGAGAGGGGGGATCAAAACTCTCAGTAGATTGCCATTCCGTGCAAGCTTTTGCAAGGGGAAAGGTAGGGAGCTCACTTCCTATGCTCCAAAGAAATAAGAGATGGAGGAGACTCATTACACGGCTCTCTTACTCTCAGGTTCCTCCTCCTCCTTCTCCCTTTGATTTTCTTTGTTGAATTCAATCTTATTGAATGGATTGTTCTTTAATTTTTTGGAGATTTCTCTTCTTGTTTTGTATTCCATTAGAGAGATTGTTGTTCTAATATGTGAACAGATGAAGTTAGGTTGAACCGAAACTGGGAAAAGAATGGCGAATGCATTGCTTAATTTTTGGGATTTTTTCTTTTTTTCATTTGTGAATCATGGTTCTGTTCTTTTCCACTGCAATTATAATTCATTTTTATGTATGACCTGGTTTGATTTGTCATATTTAGAACACAAGAAATTTTTCTTCTGTTTGTTGACCTAACAAAGCAACAAAGCCGACGTTTAGTCTTGCTGAGATATTATTTTATATATCAAATGTTTGATGCAAGTTGTTTTGAGTAAAAGACCCATTATTGTTTTGTTGGTTTCTTCAAATACATAATTGTTCTGGTTGGCAAGAAGCTTAATATTAGCTTGTTCTAAAATTTTAGTCTTTTGTGTTGGTCAGATAGTCTTGGTTAGTGTTTAGATCTATTAGAAGTCAAGGGCAGCTTTTGACTTTAAATAGGATTTATTAATTAAATTAAACTCTTCTTTGTTTGCTTGTAAATAAAAGATATGTTTTTAGAAAATCATGATTTCATCTAATAAGTTTTGCTGTTTTCCAGATTCATTTTCTAACTTCAACCAACACCTGGAAATTGATTTAATGGGACTAAACCAGTTCAGCAAAACAATATTTTAGATCTTATATAATCAAACATGTCCCAAATTTTATGCTTTCGTATTGAAATTTAATCATCCTGTCGTGGCTAAAGTTCTAAGATTTGTTATTCTTTTTTATTTTTTATTTTTTTATTAAACTATAATAACATTTCAAATGGAGGAGGCCAAGAGCAAGGAAACCAGAACCTCCCAAAAGAGTTGATGCCTCCTCCCTCCAAATTCAAACAATGGCAATGGTGGCTACTTGTTTTCCTCAACATCATCTTCGTCCTTGTCGGTCAGACCGTTTCTACTCTACTCAACCGCTTCTACTACGACAAAGGAGGAAACAGCAAATGGCTTTCCACCCTTGTCCAAACAGCTGCCTTTCCTCTCCTCCTCCTCCCTCTAGTCTTCCTTCCCACGACCT